GAACTGGACCAAAATGGAACAAGGGGCCTTTGGGGAGCAAAAAAAGGCTCTCATCTCATCTCAGCACCTGCTATAGCCTTGCCAGATGTCGTGAAACCCTTCCACCTCTACGTGAGTGAGGTAAGGGGCATTGCCAAAGGGGTTCTCACTCAGACTCTAGGTCCCTGGGAGAGACCTGTTGCCTAAGAGACTAGACCCTGTGGCAGCAGGGTGGCCAGCGTGCCTCCGGGCAGTGGTCACCACAGCATTGCTGGTGAAGGAGGCAGATAAGCAGACTCTGGGCTAGGAGCTAGCCCTGACAACAACCCAGACACTGGCCATCAACCCTGCCAGCCTGCTTCCAGATGATGATCCAGAGGAACCCATTCATGACTGCATAGAGGTAACAGACGCGGTACTGTTCTCGGATGGGAGCAGTTATGTTCAGGCTGGGATCTGATATGCAGAGGCAGCGGTAGTCACCCTGGACCACACCATTTGGGCACAATTCCTGAACTTTTTACCTTAATCCAGGTCCTTTGATGGGGACACTGTGCCATCCACAGGGAAAGAGGGTTACCAACTGCAGCCGGAAAAGAGGAATTGGCTGAACAGAAGCAAGCCATAAAAGGACCAGATGGTTGGTGGACCCTCCAGATAGCAGACTGTTGGTCCCAGAGGCTCTAGATCAGACGTTAGTTGCCCAGTCACACCAGGTTACCCACAAAGACTTCTGAACTTCTGTGAGGCAGATACTACTAAGCTTAGATAAGGTAATTAACAGCATAGTCATTAAAAGTACTGTCTGTGCACAGGTAAATAATAAGCAAGGTAAAGGGGTCCCCCCCTGGGAATTCTGGCCCTAAGGAAATTCCCTAGGAGAGTATTGGGAGGTGGATTTCAGAGATTAAGCCACCAGCATTACTAGTACTTGCTAGTTTTTGTAGATACCTCAGATTAGGACAGAAACTGCCTCCAGAAGATTATACCTAGATTCAGGCTGCCAGTAGTCATAGGATCAGATAACAGCCCCGCCTTTGTAGCAAGGTATCTCAAAGTATAGCTCAAGCCTTAGGGCAGGCATGAACAGGACTCTGAAAAGGAGTTTAACTACAAACTGGTGAAAATTGGACCAACCTCCTGACTTTTGCCCTCTTATGGACCAGGTGTACCCCTACCGGGATGGGTTTCCCCCTTTTGAGATCATGTATGGTAGACCTCCCTCCATCCTTCCCAGGGTCAGGGAGAAGCAGAAAACTTGAATTCATAACCATTCCCTTGCTCAAGTCCTTACAGGCTCTGCAGTATACCCAGAGATGCATTGCCAGTGCCCACTGCAGGCCCTGTATACCCCTTCTAGCCGGGAACTCAGTATGGGTAAAGAAGTTCACTGTCCAAGGACTCACCCCAACCCAAAAGGATGCTACACTGTTATCCTGAGCATGCCCATGGCTGTTGAGAAAGTTCGGGGCTGAGTAGATGTGCTAAGGGATAGGAGAGCAGGAAGAGAACAGCGAATGCTCTTAAAAGGAAGTTGCTGAGTCAATAATTTGACTCATGCACATAAGACAAGGGGGGAATGAAAGGGCAGGGCTGGGCTAACTCCTGATCCTCCATTTTGTAACTGGACCTTAGCCCTCACCCAACCAATCAGGGTCAGCCAAAGCAATGACATCACCACCCTTATAAAACCCATTGATCTGTTGTAGCTCGCTCTCTTCTGCCACACCGCTGCTGGTGTAAGTGGGACTGAACCTATGCTAGCATAGAATACAGGCTTTCTGCTAATGCATTGGACTTGGCCCCCTGGTGGTCTTTGGTGATCACGAAATCTGGGCATAACAATACAGAGTTCAAACAGTTGTTATAAGGATGCTCAAGGAACTAAGTGAAAACGTCAACAGCACAAAAAAGGATATAAAATCCATTAAAAAAAAGATGTAATCAGAAATGAAGGTTACAGTCACTGAAATGAAGAATAATTTACAGGGGCTCAACAGTGGAGTAGATTGAAGCCAAGAATAAAATCAGAAATTTGGAATATAAGGAAATAAAAAACACAGAGGTAGCTGGGGGCAGCAGTAGGCAATGGCGCCCTCACTCACCTGCTCAACCATCCCGCCATGGCCAACACCTGCCATGTTCCACTTCATACCTTAACAGAACAGTAAGATGAAAAAGGACTCCAAAAAAATGAAGATATAGTGTAAGGAGCCACTGGGACAACTTCAAGCACACCAATATTTGCATCATGGAGGTGCCAGAAGAAGAGAGAGAGTAAGAAATTGAAAATGTATTTGGAAAAACAGTGATAGTAAACTTCCATATCCTGGAAAAGAAAATAAACATGCAAGTCCATGAAGCTCAGAGAGTCCTAAACAAGATGACTCAAAGAGCCCTACACCAAGAGACATCATAATTAAAATGCCAAAGATTAAAGACAGAGAGAGAACTTAAAAACATCAAGAGAAAAAGCAGTTAGTTATCTACAGAGGAGCTCCCATAAGACTGTCAGCTGCTTTCTTAACAGAAACATTATAACCCAGAAGGGATTGGCAAGAAATATTCACAGTGATGAAAAGCAAGCATCTACAATCAAAATTTTGCTACCCAAAAAAGCTATCATTTAGAATTGAAGGAAAGGATAAAGAACTTCCCAAGTAAGAAAAAGCTAAAGGAGTTCATTATCACCAAACCAGTATTATATGAAACTAGGGGCCCAGTGCACGAATTTGTACACCTTGAAAGGACCTGTAGGCCACTAGGTTACAGTGGGCACAGGGCAGATCTCAGCCCATCCTCCATGCCCCTGCAGAGCCCCTCCTGCCACAGCCTCTCATCCCCTGTCTTCCAGGAGTCCTGCTCTTGCCACTGCCACTGCCACATGCTGAAGGCGCTGGCCCCGCTTGCATCCACTGATGGTGCAGAGCAGTTGGGACAGTGACAGCAGCAGGTGTGAGTGGTGGCTGCTGTCCTGATAGCCCCTCAGGAGCAGGGGGAAGTGGAGAAGCCTTCAGTGGCAATCGAGGTTAGCAGCTGCTACTTGCACCCACTGACAGTGCCAAGTGATCGGGACCAGCACCAGGCACTGGCAGTGGGTGTGAGCAGCAGCTCTGGTGCCAGCTGCAGGTGTGAGTAGGGCCAGCACCAGCAGTGGGTGCAAGCGGCAGCTCTGGTACCGGCAGCAGGTGTGAGTGAGGCCATCACCAGAAGCAAGTGCAAGAGACAGCTGCTGGCTCTGGTCACCCCTCAGAAGCAGGTGGAGGTGGAGAATTCCTGAGGGGAAATTGGGGTCAGCAGCCACCACTTTCACGTGCTAATGATGCCAAGTGATCAGGGCCAGGCTGGATGCTGGCAGTGGGTGCAAGTGGTGGCTCTGGCATTGGCAGCAGGTGCGAGTTCCAGGCAGGACCATGGCATGTGGGAGCAAAGAATTTTCAGTAACCATCAGAGGCTCGCCCTGATGACAGTGACTGGTGCTCCACCTTGGTCTGGCGCCTTCACTCACCTGCTCAACCATCCCGCCATGGCCAACACCTGCCATGTTCCACATGCACCCCATGGTGGTCAGCACATATCATAGTGCCCAGTTGTTCAGTTGTTCCAGTTTGGTCTATTTGCATATCAGCCTTTTATTATATAAGATGTTGAAAGATCTTCAAGAAGAAAAAGGAGGAGGAGGAGCAGGAGGAAGAGGAGGAAGAAGAGAAGGTGGAGGAGAAAATGTAGAAAGAGATGAGAAAATGAAGAAGGAGGAGGAGGAGGAAGAAGAGAAGAAGAAGGAGGAGAAGGAAGAGGAGGAGGAGAGGGAAGGAGAGAGAAAAATATGAACAATAAAATGGCAATAAATATTTACCTCTCAACAACTGACTATTTAAAAAAATAAAACAAACTAACAAGCAGAATAGAAACAGACTCAGATACAGAAAACATTTTGAGGGTTGTTGGATGGGAGAGGAATTGGCAGATGGGTGAAAAAGATGAAGGGATTAAGAAGTACAAATGGTTGTTACAAAATAGTCATGAAGATGTAAAGTGTGGCAATATAGTCAATAATCCTATATAATAAAAGCCTAATATCCTAAGTGTCTGGTTGTTCAGTCGGCCGTTCAACCAATCAAAGCATAATATGCTAATGATAAGCTAAGGTTGCTCAACTGCTCGCTATCATGTGCACTAATCACCAGGGGGCCAAAGCTCCAACCAGTAGGTTAGCTTGCTGCTGGGGTCTGGCTGATTGGGACTGAGTGAGACTGGCCAGACATGCCCAGGAGCCCTCTCGCATTCCCTCTCCAGCTAGCCAAACTCCCGCATCTCTCCCTGGTCTCAACCGTGCACCAGTAGGGTCCCTCCGCCTGGCCTGTGCCCTCTCGCAATCAGTGACTCTTTTTTTTTTTTTTTTTTTTAATATATTTTATTGATTTTGTACAGAGAGGAAGGGAGAGAGATAGAGAGTTAGAAACATCGATGAGAGAGAGTCATCGATCAGCTGCCTCTTGCACACCCCCTACCGGGGATATGCCCGCAACCAAGGTACATGCCCTTGACCGGAATCGAACCCGGGTCCCTTTAGTCCCCAAGCCGACGCTCTATCCATTAAGCCAAACCGGTCTTGGCAATCAGTGACTCTTTGGGGAATGTTGGAGAGCTGGTTTTAGCCGAATCCCACAGGCCAGGCCAAGGGTCCCCACTGGTGCACGAATTTATGCACCAGGCTTCTAGTATTTTACTAACTGTGTATGATGTCCAAAGGTACAAGATTTATCGGGATGATCACTTGATAAGTTATCGCAAATCACTGGGGTGTACACCTGAAACAAATATAATATTGTATGTCAACTGTAATTGAAAAATAAAAAGATATTAAGAGGCAAAAAATAAGAGCTAAAATGAATTGAGTGATGCAGATACCTGTGGTAAGAGCCAGAGACTAGCATGTGCAAAGGCCCTGGGCCATGATACCTTGGCTTTGTGTTCAGGGACAGCAGGGAGGCCAACATGGCTAGAGGGCTGGAGAGGTAGGAGGTCAGACTGGTAACCAGAGGATTTATTCACCTCTCCATCACCAGTACTAAGAAGTAAGCCCAGAACATAGTAGGTGTTCAGGGAAAACATGGTGAATGTTTACATGTGATACTTTAATGCCAATGCACAGGGGTGGTAGTGAAAATCCTGAATAGACAAATTAAGCTTCCTCCTACCCAAGCAAGAAATTAAATAGGGTTGTTCATTTGTCACCAAACAAATAGGGATTGTGACCTTACACACCCTTGGGGTGTACTCCAGTTCATTCTGCTGCCCAGGGTTGAAGCCTGAGCTTCATGAGTGACCTCACAATGTCCAGGGTGGTGCCCGGCCCACTGCCACAGTCTCAGTCCACCATGATGACCACCCTGTGGCTGCTGCTCAGCTTTGCTGTCCCGCTGCTGGGTTTCTACATTCCCATCAGCTGTCCCAACGAGTGGTGCCAACGAGCCCTACTTTCCAACAATGATGTCTCTCTGTACTGCAACTCGTCTGGAGCACAGTGGTACTACCACTTCCTACAAGCTGGGACCAGCTGGCCCATCCGCCCCCTCAGTGTTTCAAACATAGAAGCAATGTCTGAAAGCAGCATTCTCATTAAAAACCCATTGCCGTCCCAGTCTGGCTTATACACCTGCCGGAACAAGAAAGACATCCAAGTGGTGCAGTATGAGATTGACTTCCAGGACATTAGAACCCTGCACATTACACACAGAGCTCTGGGCCAGAAGCCCTTGCAGAATGAAACCCTTACTCTGGGCAGCAAGGAGATCATCTTCACCCACTGGGAGCCCTGGCAGGACTGTAACCGCTGTGGGGAGCCCGGGGAGCGCAAACGCCTGGGGTACTGCTACATCCAGGAGCCTCTGGGGAACTCCGTTCCCTGCCTGCTCTACCTGGGAAATGCTAGGCTCTCGTCCAGCCGCATGCGACCTGAGATGCAGATAGAAGCCTGCCATGTCCAGTGTGAAACATCACATGTGGAGAACATTGATTTTGACAACTTTGAGCTCAATGAGGAGTCGGGATCTGCATGGCTCACCTGCTTCTTAGGATCCATCTATAGGTAATGGACGTGCGCACCAGCCCTGCCCTTGGCCCCTAGCCAGGCTCTATCAGTCTGGGAGCCTTCAAGATTAATCCATGCAGAGAAGGGGGGGTCCATACATGGACCAGCCACTCAGGCTCTGCACTGGATTCTCCAGATGTTCCTTTGGTAAGAATCCCCTGGTGCCCACACACTATTGCTTTACACAACCAGAAGAGCATCTAACACTCAGGGAGGGCTCAACTGACTGTGCCTGGCCCAGTGCTGTGGCCATGGTAGTCTTCAGACTTTCTGCCCGCCCTCAGGAAGCCACTGGCCCAGCAGCAAAGCAGCCCAGAGTGGTCAGGGTCAGGATGGGAGAAGCCCAGGCCAGTGGAGGGGCTGTACTGGGGGGAGACTGGGAAGCTGTGGGGCTCTGAGGCCTCTGACTCATCTGGGAGGTCAGCAGGCTCCAGAGGAGAGGTCAGTACCCTAGGCATGCCCTTCAGGGCCTGCCTCCCGCAGCTCACTCATGTACTTGTCTTCCTGCCTGGAGCCCCTGGAAAATCTCCCCGTTTTCCTTCTCTTCCCCAACCACCTGTCCCTACCCCCGTAATAAAAACTACAACCACTCCTGGTTTCACTGGAGCGGGTCTTCACAAACGGCACCCTCTCCTATTCCTCCACTCTGGCCCAGGACCTGTGGACCCCAAGGAAGTTCACTGATAGGTGGGGAACTGCCACTGGAAGGGAGACTTGTGGTGGGAAGTGGCAGTGCAGACCCTTAGTCTCACACACACACACCAAGAGGTCCCCTATGCCCTCCTCCCCCATGCACCCCAGTGGCAGCCCCTCCCTGGCAAGGGGCGAGCCATCGCAGCCTCGTGGGGCCTCTGCAGCTACGGGCTCTGGGGAATCAGGCCTCACCACATCCATCTGGTTTTCCTTTCCTTGTTTATTCCTGTTGTGACTTGTATTTCTCTCTTTGTTCTCATGCTCCTGCCATTTTGTCTCTCTTCCTCCTTCCTCTCCCTTTAAGTATAAAAGCAACACTTACTCCCTAAAAAATACCACAGTGCTTAAGTGCAGGAAAGTGCACTATGCATCTAGAACTGGGACATCTATTCCCTGTTTTTGGCCAGGCAAAGTGTTCCCAAGTGCTGGTCATTGGGAACTTGAGGGAAGAGGCAAGAGAGGTCACTGAGGCTTCAAGAATTGTCCATGTCTTTAGGGAGCTCAGTGGAGTGGCACTTTGTATGAGGTTTTTGTCTCAAGCTCTGGGCTCTGCTGGGCCAGGTTCTGATCCCAGCTCTGCCATTTTCCAGCTATGTGACTTTGGCCTCTGGTGTCTCTTTAGGCCTCAGTTTCCCTGTTTGTAGAATAGGGGTTGTATTAGTTTGCTAGGTCTGCCATTACAAAGTATCACAAACTGGGTGGCTTCAACCAATAGCAATTTATTCTCTCATAATTCTGAAGGCTAGACATCCAGAATCAAGGGGTCAGCAGAGCCTTGTGCTCTCTGAGATGCTGGTAGAAACCTTGCTTCTTCCTCTCTCCTGGTGGTGGCTGGCATCCTGGGCCTTTCCTGGTTTATCTCTGCCTCTGACATCACTTGGCGTTAGCCTGGGGTGCCCGTGTCTCTGTGGCTCTTCTCCCTTTCTTCCTTCCTTTCCTTCTTTCCTTTCTTTCTTTCTTTCTCTTTCTTTTTCTTTTTTTCTCCCTCCCTCTTTCCCTCCCTCTCTCCCTCTTTCCCTTCCTTCTTTCAGAGGCTTGACTAGAAGGGACCACTGAGCTAAGGCCAGTCCACACACACACACACCCCTTTTTTTTTTAAAGACATGAGTCATATTGGATTTAGGACCCACGATACTGCAGTCTGACCCCGTCTTAACTGATTACATCTGCAATGACCCCATTTCCAAATAAGGTCACTTTCTGAGGTCTGATTAAAACCTCCCTCTCCAACTCAGTACAGAGGTCTTGCTGGCCCTGGCCACATGGGGTCATTGTGTTGTCAAAGGGGACAAATGACTGGGAAGACACAACAGTACCTGACAAACCGCTCCACACTGACAGGTGTTACTGCCTGCATGATTATTGGCCCAGCCAGTGTTGTCTTCTAAGTGTCCCTCCATTCCCCACAATGGGTGCGTTATATGCCTCATCACTTATTTGCTTTCCACATTATTCACTTACAATGCTATGCAGTTACCACTGAGTGTATTTATAAGCCAAGCACTGCTCTAGGTACCTGGGATGCAGCACAAAACAAAACTGAAGAGTCCTGCCCTCATGGAGCAATAACTGATCACATGAATAAAACATTCAGTATTTTAGGTGGTGATAAGGCGGTGAGGGGGGGATGGGAGTGGATGAGGTGAAATTTCAAATAAGGAGGTTAGGGATGGTATCTCTGAGAAGGTACGTGTCAGCCAAGACTGAATGAGGTGAGGGAGCCAAGAGCGCTGAGGGCAAGCCTTCCAGGCAGAGGGGCACCAGGGGCAAAGCCCCAAGGCAGGACCCTGTTCAGCCTGTCAGGGAAGCATCAAGGAGGTCAGAATGGCGGGGGCAGAGGGGAGGGCAGAGTGGAGGAGACAAACCAAGTAGGTACTGGGGGCACAAATCAGCACTCTCGCTAATGCCTCTGAATGAACTCAGGCAGGTACAGTTACTGCACCCCCCAGGGTTCAAGTGGGGAAATGTAAGCTCAGACAGCTGGGGCCTGTGGCCAAGTCCTCCACTCAGTAAGGGGAGGGCTCCAAACCTCTCAGCCGTCCTGCCCCCACCTTGCTCCCTTGCTCCCTGCTGCGAAGTGCTCCTCAGAGGGGGTGCTGTCTCTCCCTCCCTCGGACATTTGTCCTTTCCTCCCTGGGGGCTGCCGCTGACCTTGTCATCCTCTGCAGGCCCATCATCTGGGAAGCCGACAGCAAGCCCTTGACCTGGCAGGGCCAGCTCTCTGGCCAGGACCTGAGCACCATCCTGGACCCCGCCACTGGGGGCAGGCGACTGCAGGTCTTCCGGCCAGCCATTTACAAGTGCTTCGTGGACCATGAGCTGACGGCTCGCTTCAACCCCAGGTCCCATATGGATCCACTGGAGGTTCTGCAGAGAGAGGAAGCTAGACAATGGCGGGAGGCAGAAGAGGCACAGAAGGGGAAGAGCAACTATTCCCTCTACCTGCTGCTGCTGGTGGGCACTGTGCTGAGCCTGCTCGGGATGCTGCTCTGGCTCTTCTGCCCTTCCCGGAGTAAAACAGGTGCTTCTGGTGGAATAAAGTGAGCCTGCCGTGCTCAGGAGACCTGGCCGCCTGTGCCATCGTCACCTCAACTGTCCTTTCTCCAGCCTCTGCCCTGCGCCTGCTCCACACCAAACTGCGAAGGTATATGGGTCAGATACCATGTCCACAGCTAAGAGTGACTGCACTCTTCCCTGTCCCAGCTTCTGCTCTGTTAACTCATTAGCAATCCACATTCCACAGATGAGAAACTGAGGCAAGGAGACTACCTGGCTAGTAATTGGAGGGGGAGTGGGGGCTCCAGTTCAAACCCAGGTTGCCTGGCTCACACCCCATATTCCTCACAAGGGAAAGAGGAGGGGTGGAATGAGTCCATTTGGGGGAGGAATGTCTGGGGTTGGTAAACTATAACCACCTTATTCACTGCACTCTCCTAAGGACAAGGACTAAAACAGGGATGGGAATGGGCAACCTCAGTCCCCCGACATCTGCACTGGTCTGCTGCCTTTCCTTGCCTGTCTTTTGCCCCATCCTGCACCAACTGTGCCTATGGCCTTTTGGCTTCGTTATATCTCTCCAAGTCAGATGGTGCTGCCACAGGGGAGGCCTGGGACAATGGGACACACACCACCTTTCCTGTCTTGCAGTGGAGAGAGCCCCTTCAGACCCCAAATGGAGACAGGTCCCTCCACCGGGACAAGGGACCAGGCCTGGTCCAGGCAGCCCGCAGAAATCACTGGGACTAACTATTCCAGAAATTATATACACTGTTTGGCAGAGTGAGCAGTAAAATATTAATGAATATTAATGCCTATAAAATTCATTGCCCTGATAGCTCATTGTGAAGCAACTACAGAACAGATCTGAAGCTTCCAGAGCAGAATTTCTGTCACTGAGGAGAGAGCAGAGCTCACCTCTCCCATACCAGGCATTTTTGCCAAAACGCTTAAGGTTTCACATGATGTCCAGAGACCAAAGGGTCTTGTAGAATGGGGGGATGGTCTTGGAGACTTAAAGGGGGTCCAGTGGGAAGCAGAGGCAGAGAATAACAATGATAATAGCAAATATTTGTGGACCTCCTGGTGAGGTCAAAACTCAAACCCTTCAAAAATATTATGTCCTCACAGCCACCCATGAGGCTGCAGTTGGGAAGAGGCCAGTGATGGGAGTGAAAGATGACGTCTAAGCTCCCTTCCCTACCGGCTGCCAGCAGCCCCAAGTATTTTGTGGCTAGAGGTCAAGCAGCCAGAGCCAAGCTTGGTCTGATGCCCAGGCTTATGACTAAAGGTCACATAATCCACACACAAAGCTGCTGGTGCTGGCACACGAACCCTAAGGTGGCACTAATGATCTCCACCTCCCAGAGTCCCCACCTGAGTGTGATTCCCTCCTCTTCAGTGTGGACATCTGTGACACTTCTAACTTATAGGGCAGAGGCATTTGGATATTTATAATATCACTAGAGGCCTGGTGCATGGATTCGTGCACCAGTAGGGTCCCTCAGCCTGGCCTGTGCCTTCTCGCAACCTAGGACCCCTTGGGGGATGTCAGACTGCCAGCTTCAGCCTGATCCCTGATAGTCTGACATTCCTGCGGAGGAGCCCATACCACTCCATTCATCCCAGCCCCACTGCCCCTGCTGCCACTGCTCTGTAAGGTAAGCTCACTGAGTGGCACTCCTGATGTGGGAGTGCATTGATCACCAGGGGGCAGCTTCTGCATTGAGCGTCTGCCCCCTGGTGGTCAGTGTGCATCATAGTGACTGGTTGACCTGTCCAGTCATTGGGTCATTCAGTCACTTAGGCTTTTATAGATTCTCAGGCCTTACAAAATTACCAACTTAAAAATTAGCCTGCTATATTTGATCAAACATTTAATTAACTCACCCCTAATGCCTTGGCAGGGCCAGACCAAATTATTTCACAGGCCTTTTATGGGGCCGGATATTCCTCACCCCTGTTATTGAAGATGGCCAAGGTATTGGGATGTCACTCTCTTGATTGGGTTATACCACATAAGCTTCTGTTTCAACCAACTGCAGCTAGACAGGCTGGCTAGCCATGTGGCAAATCAGCTTGCTGAGGAAGCCCACTTGGCAGGAAGCTAAAGGCAGCCTCTAGGGGCTGCAAGTGGCCTTTGGAACCTGAGGGTGACAGTCTGAAAAAAGCCAGATCCCACAGCTACAAGGAAATAAACTCTGCAAGCCACCTGAATGGATCAGAGGCAGATTATTTTCTAGTCAGTCTCCAAATGAGAATAAGGACTGACCAACACCTTGACTACAGCCTTGGTAGATCCTGAGCAGAGGATTCCTGATACACAGAAATGGAGAAATCATGAATGTGTATTGCTTTACACTCCCAAATGTGTGGCAATTTGTAATGCAGCAATAGGCAACTAATACACCCACGCATACCCCAAGCCTACCCTGAAGGCTCCTGTAGCTTCAGCAGTTACATGGATGGTTCTTGTAGGCGCCAGTGGCTTCCAACCTCCCCCCAGGAGCTTGCTGGGCCAAGCATTGGGATGTGGCACTGGCAGCCAAGCAGTTGGTGCCCCCAGAAGCATTCCTTGCCCACAAGGAATGGGCGTGAAGGATAGACATCCAGCTTTCCCAGCCCTGGATGGTACAACACTTCCTACATTCTCTTAGAGCAGTGGTCGGCAAACTCATTAGTCAACAGAGCCAAATATCAACAGTACAACGATTGAAATTTCTTTGGAGAGCCAAATTTTTTAAACTTAAACTTCCTCTAATGCCACTTCTTCAAAATAGATTCGCCCAGGCCTATTTTGTGGAAGAGCCACACTCAAGGAGCCAAAGAGCTGCATGTGGCTCGTGAGCCGCAGTTTGCAGACCATGGTCTTAGAAGATCCCTAGCAACACTAAACTTCAGGAGGGTACTGCTGCAACCAGCTTATTAAAGCACCATTATCAGCTCACCCTCTTCCCTGCCTCGCTTGCTTTCACTTCTGGTTCCCCAAATTATGTTTTTAGCCCCACATTCCCTTTCTATCTCCTGGGATTCTGAGGACATACATTTTGGGCCTGCTATTGTTTCATGGGTCCTTGAGACTGTTAATTTTCCTCCAATCTTCTCAATTGTTCCAGTTAGAAAATGTTTACTGACCTGTCTTCAGGTTCACTGACTCCTTTCTCTGTCCTCTCTATTCTGCTATTCAGCCCATTCAATGAATTTTTAATTTTGGTTATTGTGTTTAATTCTAAAATTTTTATCTGGTTGTTCTTTATACCTTCTTGTTGACACTTTTTAATTTAATATTTGCTTTTAGGGGGAACTCTGAGATATTGGGGTTGCTAATTCAATGGCTTCCATGAGCCAAATAGAAAATAAAAATAAGGGGGAAGGCCTTGGGGAACTGTTGTGATGTAGGAGTTATTATACTGGGTTGAGGGTAGGGACTTTGGAACTAGTCCATAGTTCTTGCTGATTAGCACCATGCACAAATGCAGGCCTGGTTCCTCAGGAAGTCTAGAAAATTTCTGGAAATTCAGATGTTTGAGCGAAACTGTCCAATTTATGCATGTTGGCTCAAAAGAGTTTTCAAACACAAAGCCAGCCAAATAAAACATTATCTGCAGGCTAAATTCATCCCACAGGCATTTGTGAGCTCTTGCTTCAACCTTTATGGGGTCAAGTGCACATTTCCATTTCAATTATTCAGTCAACAAATATTTATTGAGCTACAGTAGCTAGGGACAACTTACCTGAGATGATGACATTTCAGATAAGCCCAAATAACAAGAGGTGGACAAGTAGGATTATGGAGGAGGAATGTATTTGTTTTCTGTGGCTATTATAACGAATTATCACAAATTTAATGGCTTAAAACAATGCAAATTTATAATTTTACCATTCTGGAGATTAGAAGTCCAAAATGAATCTCATGTGGGTCTTAAATGGTGTAAAATCAAGGTATTGGCAGGACTTGGATTCCTCTGGAGGCTCAAGGGAAAGAATCCACCTGCTTGCTTTCTCTAGCTCTTCCTTCTCTTCAAAGTGAGCATTTTCACATCTGTCTCTTTGACTCTCTAATCTATAATTCCAGGGTCAGATCTTCTCTAACTCAACTTTCCTGCTTCCCTCTTATAAAAACCCAAGTGATTACATTGGGCCTGCCCAATAATCCAAGATAATTTCCCCATCTCAAGATCCTTACCTTAATCACACTGCAGCATCTCTTTCTGCCAGAGATTAGGAACAGAGCTGAAGGTCGAGGGGGGAGGAGGTGACACGATGATATGGGTGGGGGGGTATTATTCAGTCTACTATAAGCCGTCTAGGAAGAGGCAACATTTGCAAGGGCTCTGGATGGGTGTCCGCTGGACCAGTGTCTGTTGGATGGAGTCTACTGGGGCAGGGAGGACATTGAGGAGGTAGCCAGGGCCAGAACGTGTAAGGTCTTAGGTGAGGGTTTTGTACTCTATTTGTAGTGAGATAGGAACCATGGGAGACTTTTGAGTAAGAGAGGGATGTGACCTGATGTCCATTTAAACAGGTGATTCTGACAAGGCAGATTTCCTTACATGGAGTGGCAGCCACTCTCCATGAGGCCGGTTGGACAATGAGAAGCTCTCATAATCTAGCAGAAGTGGAAAGGCAAGCCCAACATGTGCAGTGTAGCACAGCATACCCCATATTTCATTTTTAACCATCCTAATCTGCCCTTTCCCTTTCTATATTGTGATTTTTGAAGGCTTTCTTTTTTTCTTTTTTTAGAGCAGCTTTAGGTTTACAGCAAAACTGAGAGAAGGTACAGAGATTTCCCACATACCCTTGCCACACACATACATAGCCTTCCCCAATATCAACATCCTCACCAGGTACATTTGTTGCAATTGATGAACCTCCATTGTCACCCAAAGCCCATAGTTTACATTAGGATTCACTCTTGGTGGTGTAGCAGCAGTGCCCTAAAAATCCTCTGTGCTCTGTCAGTCATCTTTCTCTCCAACTAACCCCTAGCAACCACTGATCTTTTTACTGTCTCTATAGTTGCCTTTTTCAGAATGTCATCTATAGTCACATACAGATTAACAACAGGAATACGTTCTGAGCTATATGGAGTTAGGTGACTTTGTCATTGTGTGAACATCATAGTATACTTACACAAAACTTGATGGTACAGCCTACTGTATACATACCTAGGCTATTGATATAGCCTCTGACTCCTAAGCTATAGCCTGCACAGCATGTCACTGTACAAAATAACATGAGATTAAGTCAAGCACTAGAGAAAATGATATAATTGAAATGCTATAAACAAGATGTATGAGGATGCTGCTGACATAACACTATTTTACAGCAATTTTTTTTTTAATCCTCACTAGAGGATATGTTTAGAGAAATGAGAGGGAGAGAGAGAGAGAAAGAGAGAGACATCGATGTGAGAGAGAAACATCAATGGGTTGCCTCCCCTATGCACCCTGGCTGGGGATCAAGCCCACAACTTAGGTATATGCCCTAATTGGGAATTAAACCTGTGACCTTTTGGTGCACAGAACAATGCTTCAAACAACTGAGCAACCCAGCCAGGGCTTACAGCAATTTTTTGTATAAGTATAAAGAGTACACTCTAAAATAGTGATTAAAACTATAATACAGTAAGTACATAAAGCAGTAGCATAGTCGTTTATTGTCAATACCAAGTATTACGTACTATAAGTTGTGGAAAGCTACCCATAGTCTTCACTAGCAGAGAGGTGTGGACAAGGAAACCAGAAGGCTGGTGGCA